TGCCAGCCAACCAAGATGAGGAAGGCAAATGATGTGTTCGTTTTTAATTTATGAAACAAATTATGTATGCAAAAGAAGTCGAGACTAATATAACAAACATTCAGTTTAAGAGAGAAAATTTTACAAAGACAAATGAAACCTCCTGAGCATTTTCCCTAGAGTTCATTCTCCCTCCTTTATCAAAGAGGTGACCACAAATCTGAATTTGGTGTCAACCATTAATGAACTTGTGTTAAAAATATTTTTAGTATATGTATATATATATATACATATATATATACTCATTCATAAATACTATATTGTTTTTTAGTATATGTATATATATATATACATATATATATATACTCATTCATAAATACTATATTGTTTTATCTGTGTTTAAGCTTTATACAAATGCTTTACAATGGTATCTTCTTACATATATCCTATATGCTGGACCTGCTTTTGAGATGAATCCAGATTGACATATATCTCTATTATTAATCAATTTATGGATGTTGTTTAGTATTTTATTTATTCAGTTATAACTTCTATAAAATATTCTCCTGTATGACTATGACACTGTTTCTTTATCCTGATGGGTATCTACCTGATGGATATTTCATAGGTTTTCCTTTGTTTTCACTATTATAATCAATGTATCAGAGACTTGCACAGTCTTCTTCGGCAAATGGGTTGGAGCTTATTTTGTAGGATATACCATGCATTTCAAATATGAGAAAATGGCAAAGAGTAGTTAAGCTGTGGACTTCTGCATTCACTGTTTTCTTCCCTAAGCCCCAGTTAGGAGCTTGTTCAATCCTATGCATACATAGATAATATTAAATAAATAATAATAATTTTTTATGACATTATGTATATTTCATTTCAGTTTCCAGGTTTTATGGACACCTTGTAAGTTCCATGATGCATTAGGAATAAAACATACTCAGTCTCAAAATGAATGTCACCTAAAGCAATGTGGAGCAGACTCACACACTATGACACTCTTGAGCTACTGTTACAAGGCTGTGATATAAAAATACAATACAAAACTATGTGTCCAAGGACACTGTTAAGAGACAATAAGCAGGGCACCTGGGAGTGATCTAGGAGTCCTCGGAGGCAGACACCCTTCTGCATGGTCATTTGAACTGGATGGAGGGATTTGCATGATGTTGTTCAAAAGGGGAAGGAAGGGCAATGCAGACTGCAGGCACAAGCCAGGTTTCTGAAGAGTGCATTTCTACTCCAGCAAATCACCATTTCTCCCCAGCAATTCAGTGAAGAACAAGACGGCTGAGCTAGAGACTGTGTAAAGTGCCTTTGCATGAAGTGAACCTAGACCACTGCATTTAAGCCTCTGAATAGCTGGCAGGTGGTCAATTTCTAAAGCAATCTCTTGGAGACTGATATGGAGAAAGATACAGGAAGCGCTGGAGTTTTACTACCTACCTATCATTTAGCTGCTGGCATGGGCTTCTCTTCCCTCTTTCCCAACTTCCCTCCACTGTGTCTGCTCCCCTTCTTCTCCCCCTTTCAGTTTGCCTCCTGTCATTCTCTGTTATAATTAAAACAAATAGAAAACATTGCAGATGTCTGCTATAAAGCATTTGCAAATACCGTATATTTTAAAAACCAGCTACAAATTGTGTGATTTGGTCTTTAAAAAAAATCTCTGAAAGACATTTCTGGACATAAACATATCTTTCATCCTATAGATTTTGAATCTTCTTTTTGTTCTTCAGCCCAGGTCATCATCATTTCTTCACAGCCTTGCACAGAAAGGTACAGCTTTAACTAGTGAGAGTTGCTCCGATTTTACAAAAGATGGGGAATTTCTGGAATGATGGTATAAATGGGGAAACTGTTACTGTATGGTCTGGTGCAGTTTTAGCATTACTCTTAGGCAAAATGACACCCAAGAATAACAGCATCTGTAAGAAGTGAAAGTGAAGAAAAGTTAAAAAAAATGTGCTAAAATGTTATCTTCAATAGTTGGAAGGGATCTGCCTTCCCCAGAGGAAACCAATATATCAGTGCAGACAACATTGGGGACCTCCTTCCATTCACTCTTGGGGCATCCATTCAGGTCTGCAAGCAATTTTTAAAAATCTGCCCCCAGGGAAGATGACAAGTTTCCCAGTTTTAGCTTGAACCTCAGCTATGTCTTCCTCTCCCTTTACTATCCAATTTCCTAGAGCCATGGAGTGGGTACAAGGGCAGAGGAATCCAGCTTAGCGGTGAAAAGCTCAGATTCTTCCGGGAGGATTTAAATCCTGGCTCTACTTACGACTAACTGTGATTGTTAGGCAAGTTATTTAACTGCTTTATGTTTTTGTTTCCTCGTCTAGAATATGGGGTCAGTAATATTATGTACATTGTGGTCATAAGTTTTGTAAAGACAGAGGGAGAAAATGCACTGAAGCACTTATAAATACGTGCATGGCAGGTAAATGTTCCAGAAAGGGTAGGCAATAATGGTAGTGGCAATGCTGGTGGAGTGTTGGTGTTACTGCTGCCTCCCTCCTTTTTTTGTAACTCCATAGTGCCATCTTGCCTAGATTATATCCATCTATCCATCCACTCAACAAATATTATAGACTTATGTGCCAAATATTGTTCTAGGATTCTATAAAAATAGTACAAGCACTTATGTTCACTAATATTTAAAGTACAGAGAAATGAAAATTATTTAACTAGGAAAACTTACTAGTGACAAAAACCAGAAGATGGGCATTTGCATTCATGGGAAATTAGCAGGAGGTTAACATAAATGGTCTTGGTTATGAGTCGTGCTGTTTCCACACCTGTATTAAGTGTGTGGGTACTCTGTTGCACCTTTCTTGACCTCAATAACCAACTTTGCATAATAAATTAAACTTCCATCACTGAGAAATGCAAACCCTTCAAAGTGACCCCTAACCCAGCAAAGAAATATATAAATCCCAGTCTCAGACCAAAGGACTCAGAAGCCATCTTCACATACAAGCCATTACCATCCAAATAGCTTTTCTGTTTGACTCAAACTTTATTCTATATGAGGGGATAGTCATCAGGCAACAATTTTTCCCTTTGAATTCATTAGTAAATATTTTGTTATTTTTCTCTTTCATTAAAACCTAGTTTCCTATCAGCCTTCTTTTGTTTCTTTCCCTTTCATTATAGCTTGCATTCTTTATATATATTTACACATACACACACACACACACACACACACACAATTGCATTTTAGGTTTTGGGGTACATGTGAAGAACATGCAAGATTGTTACACAGGTACACACATGGCAGCGTGATTTGCTGCCTTCCTCCCCTTCACCTATACCTGGCATTTCTCCCCATGCTATCTCTCCCCAAGTCCCCACCCACCGCTGTCGCTCCCCTCTTTCCCCCCAACAGACCCCAGAGTGTGATGCTTGCATTCTTATCTGCCCTGGAGACCACGCCATCATTCATTGCACTCATTTCTTTCATTCATCCAATAGTTATTAAATGCCTACTAATGTCAAGAACTTGTCACTTCTCTCCTCAGTCACTTGTAATGGCACCCTTTCATCTACTGATTCAAGCCTGAAGACTTCATTCTAGTTCATCCTTATAGTTTATTTTCCATCATAACTGTGCACACTCCAGGGAGGTCACAGGCAAGTCCTTTGAACATAAACCATATGTGTTTTTATTTTTATGCCTCTGTTCTCCTACAGTGTGCCCCCTTCTAGCAAAATTTTTTAGCAAATTTTCAACCATCAAAATCCTTCTTATCCTTAAATGCTTTGCTAAAGACTTGCTTCCTCTACATAGTATCCTAGAACAATTCTACCTTCGCTGTTTCCAGACTTTAGAACTTCATAGATGTCTACATTTCCAAATTTAGAGACTAACATAAATTGGCATTTTTTCTTCTATTATCGAATGAGACTATTTTAAAATGCCAGGTGCCAGCTACTATTACCATTGCTTTATTTTTTAAAAAAAGCCTTTTTAACACTAGTAGGAAATTCAGAATAGAGGATAATACATTAAACCAACTGAGCTTTAGAAAAACACATTTGTGTTGTTATTATTATTATTATTATTTTGCCATGAGCATTCATTCATTGACTAGCATCTGGGAAGCATTCATGTGTGGCATTGCTAGACACTAGAAAAAATGAGTCAGAAATGCAGGGTCCTTTTCCAATTTGGCAGAAAACCAATACTCCCAGCACTCTTTCATTACAGCGGGCATTGTGCTATGCAGCTTATTACTTCAACTCACCTAATTAATACACGCAGCAATCCTATGAGATAGAGACTAACATCCCCATTCTACAGATGAAGAAATAAAAGCTTACAGAATTTAAGTTAATACCCAAAGTAGCAAAGCTAGCAAATGGCAAAGTCACTATTTAAACCCAGGTCTATACAATTCTAAAGTTGGCACTCTAAAAGTCTACGCAATATTGCCTCTTAGAAGTATAAGATATGGAAGGTCTAATTTGCTACAGATTTCTTCCCAGTTGAAATTAGCACATGTTGGGATTTAATCCAGATTTTTACAAGACTAGCAGTAGTGACATTTTAGGCTTGGTCATTCTTTCTTGTGGGAGCCATCCTGTGTTTTGTAGGATGTTTAGCCACTGGCTGCCACTAGTACTCCACCAGTGATAACAACCAAATGTGTCTCCAGACATTGTCAAATGTCACCTAGTGGACAAAATGGCTCCCAGCTGAGAACCACTGGTTTCATCCAATCTTGCTTTATGGGTCTGTCTAAAACCAAGCTGAACATAAATGACTACAAAGGTGAAAATAGTTGCACTGTGCACAAACTTGTTTTCTACAAATAGCTCTGTAAGATGGTTTTAATAAGCAACAGCATTGTCATTTAAGTACAATTTAAGACATTCCTCAAAACAATAATTTTAAAGAAATTTAGCTTGTATAAGAAAACAATTTTATTTCTGTTGTTTTAAGAGGACCATTCCAAAAACTTAGTCCAAACCAAGAGAAACAACAATCGACTCCTTTATAAGTTTACCGTGTAAAGGATGTTCAGGGAATAATTGACACTATCCAGCTGAAAAGGCTTCCTCCTGGTAAAATGCAACCATTAGCCAGATCAAACAGTCTCTCAAGACTGAATATAGATGGCAGCGAGATATCAAATGGGACCTGAGGAAAAGCATAAAAGTGTTCATGAAATGCATTGTTTCAAACTGTTGACAAAGTTTTCAAAATACCCAAATACCAATTTCTAATAATTTTATATAAAAGAGAGTTAACTTGTGTGCCTCAGGTAAGGCATGAAGTTTCATATCTCTAAACTGCTGAAATGGCACATATATCATGCCACATCCTATTAAGATTCACATATCAGCCTATAAAACAGCAAACACTTCTAAAAATAAGAACTATTTGTATTTATATAATCATTGTACATGGTTCTTAATGTAGGACTTTTGGCCCTCCTTTTAATAAAATGCTTTCCTGTGCAACAGATTGACCAGTTGGCCAATCTCCTGTCTCTCATAAGTCTTGACACAGTGAAAGAGGAAGCACCAGGAAGTTATGTTTGGAAATCAGTCTATCTGAAAGAGACACTGCGTTACCACGAGCAAGAACTACAGCCAAAGTCATCCCGGGCAGGCTGAAAACTGGAAAATAAAGACTAATTTTGTGGTCATAGCATTTGGTTATTGGTTGGGGGAAGGCCAAGGAGGCGAGAACAAAATTGAAGGAAGGAAAACAAATGTTTGCTAGGGACCACTTCATGCCAATCTAGGTAAATACTTGCATGGAATGACCACAATGAGTTATACCTTGTGGGTCTGAATCCTGGTTAAAAAAAAAAAAAATTAGAGGACAAGTTTCTATTAATTTCTTGTCTACTTGTTAAATGAGCCAGACATGTTTTATTTTCAAGAAAGCATAATGCATCTGGAGTTAATTTTGGTGTAAGGTGTCAGGAAGGGGTCCAGTTTCTGCTTTCTACACATGGCTAGCCAGTTTTCCCAACACCATTTGTTGAACAGGGAGTCCTTTCCCCATTGCTTGTTTTTGTCAGGTTTATCAAAGACATATATGAGGCCAACAATCATATGAAAAAATGCTCATCGTCACTGGTCATCAGAGAGATGCAAATCAAAACCACATTGAGATACCATCTCACGCCAGTTAGAATGGCGATCATTAAAAAATCTGGAGACAACAGATGCTGGAGAGGATGTGGAGAAAAAGGAACACTTTTACATTGTTGGTGGGAGTGTAAATTAGTCCAACCATTGTGGAAGACAGTGTGGCGATTCCTCAAGGCCTTAGAAATAGAAATTCCATTTGACCCAGCAATCCCATTACTGGGTATATATCCAAAGGACTATAAATCATTCTACTATAAGGACACATGCACACGAATGTTTATTGCAGCACTGTTTACAATAGCAAAGACCTGGAATCAACCCAAATGCCCATTGATGATAGACTGGATTGGGAAAATGTGGCACATATACACCATGGAATATTATGCAGCAATCAGAAATGATGAGTTCGTGTCGTTTATAGGGACATGGATGAATCTGGAGAACATCATTCTCAGCAAACTGACACAAGAACAGAAAATGAAACACCACATATTCTCACTCATAGGCGGGTGATGAAAAATGAGAACACATGGACACAGAGAGGGGAGTACTAAACACTGGGGTTTATAGGGGGAAAAGGGGAGGGCCAGTGGGAGGGGGAGGTGGGGAGGGATTGCCAGGGGAGAAATACCAAATGTGGGTGAAGGGGAGAAAGCAAACAAAACACACTGCCCTGTGTGTACCTATGCAACTGTATTGCATGCTCTGCACATGTACCCCAAAACCTAAAATGCAATAAAAAATATATATATATAGTCTTGCAAAAAAAAAAAAAAAAAGAAAGCATAATGAACCTAAATGTAGATACTGCATTTGGAGGCTGGTTTTTGTTAACTTTTACATCACTTTCTTGGATTAAAAAAGTATTCCAGTGTTTTCTATAACAGCTAACAATAAAGAGATACATAAATAAAAAATTAATATCTCCCTTCCTTGATCAGTCCTAATATAATCAATGTTTCCATACTGGAAAGTATATTGGATAGTTTTTTCTTTCTTTTTAAAAATGGAATTATTAGGTTTCCATTATTTGCTTTTTCAATTAGCAATATATAAAGATATATCCCTCCTTAATCAATTCAGGGAGGCAGAATAACTACATGGTGTTAAGAGTGTACATACTGGGGCCGGGCGAGGTGGCTCACACCTGTAATCCCAGCACTTTGGGAGTCTGAGGTGGGGGGATCACAAGGTCAGGAGTTCAAGATAAGCCTGGCCAACATAGTGAAACCCTGTCTCTACTAAAAATACAAAAAATTAACCAGGCATGGTGGCATTCGCCTGGAATCCCAGCTCCTGAGGAGGCTGAGGCAGGAGAATCACTTGAACCCAGGAGGCGGAGGTGGGTTCAAATTCAGACCTCATCACTTACCAGTTATGTGAGGCTGGGTAAAATGTTTAATCTCTTTGAACTTTAATTTCTACATGCATAAAATATAAACAGTCTATTTTGAATTGATCTTTGTATATGATATAAAGAAGGGGGTCTAGCTTCAGTCTTCTGCATATGGCTAGCCAGCTACCTCAGCACCACTTATTGAACAGGAGTCTTTTCCCCATTGCTTGTTTTTGTCACCTTTGTTGAAGATCAGATGGTCATAGGTATATGGCAACATTTCTGGGCTCTCTATTCTGTTCTATTGGTCTATGTGCCTATGTTTGTATCAGTGCCATGCTGTTGTGGTTACTGTATCCCTGTAGATAAAGTCAGGTAACATAATGCCTGTAGAGTTGTTCTTTTTGTTTAAGGTTGACTTGGCTATTCAGGCTCTCTTTTGGTTCCATAACTTTAGTTCCATGAATTTTTAAATCATTTTTTCTAGTTCTGTGAAGAATGTTGTTGGTAGTTTGATAAGAATAGCACTGAATCTGTAAATTGCTCTGGGTAGTATGCCATTTTAATGCTATTGATGCTTCCTATCCATGAGCCTGGGGTGTTTTTCCGTTTGTTTGTGTCTTTCCTGATTTATTTGAGCAATATTTCATAATTCTCATTGCAGGGATCTTTCACATCCATGGTTAGCTGCATTCCTAGGTATCTTATTTTTTTGTGGCAATTCTGAATATTATTGCATTTCCAAATCTATACAAATCTTGAAGATGACCTAGGCAATACCATGCTGGACACAGAAATGAGCAAAAATTTCATGAAAAAGACACTAAAAGCAATCACAAAAAAAAAAATTGGCAAGTGGAATCTACTTAAACTTAAGAGCTTCTGTGCAGCAAAAGAAACTACAAGAGTAAACAGACAACCTAGAGAATGGGAGAAAATATTTGCAAATTACACATCTGACAAACGTATAATATCCAGCATCTATGAGGAACTGAAACACAATTTACAAGAGAAAAACAACCTCACTAAAAAATGGGCAAAGGACGTGAACAGACACTTCAAAAGAATACATACCTGCACCCAGGAAGCATACGAGTAAAACCTCACTATCACTGATCATTAGATAAATCAAAACCACAATGAGATGCCATCTCACACCAGAATGGCTATTGTTATATTAAAAAGTCAAAAAATAACAGATGCTGGCAAGGTTGCAGAGAAAGAGAGAACATTATACACTGTTGGTGGGAGTGTAACTTAGTTGAACCATTGTGGAAAACAGTACGGTGATTCCTCAAAGCACTGAAAGTGGAACTATCATTAGACCCAGTAATCCCATTACTGGGTGTATACCCAGAGAAATGTAAATCATTCTACCATTGAGACATGTGCACGCAAATGTTCACTGCAGCACTATTCACAGTAGCAAAGACATGTGCATTGGTCCATTTTCATACAGCTATAAGGAGCTTTCTAAGACTGGGTAATTTATAAGAAAAGAGGTTTAATTGCCTCACAGTTCCACATGGCTGGGGAGGACTTGGAAAACTTATAATCATGTCAAAAGGCAAAGGGAAAGCAAGCACCTTCTTCACAGGGTGGCAGGAAAGAAAGAATGAAGGAGGAAGAGCCACTTTAAAACCATCAGATCTCATGATAAGTCACTATCACAAAACAGCACAGAAGAATACGCCCCCATTATTCAATCACCTCCCACCAGGTCCCTCTTTGACAATTTGAGATGAGATTTGGGTCAGGACGCAGAGCCAAACCATATCAACATGGAATCAACCTAAATGCCCATCAATGACAGATTCGATAAAGAAATTGAGGTACATATACACCATGGAATACTATATAGCCATTAAAAAGAATGGGATCATGTCTTTTATGGAACATGGATGAAGCTAGATGATATTATCCTCAGCAAACTAATGTGAGAACAGAAAACCAAATACCACGTTTTCACTTATAAGTGGAAGCTAAATGATGAGAACTTATGAACACAAAGAAGAAAAGAACAGACACCAGGGTCTACTTGAGAGTGGAAAGTGGGAGGAGGAAGAGGAGAAGAAAAGATAACTATTGGGTACTGGGCTTGATATGGTTTGGCTGTGTCCCCACCCAAATATCATCTTGAACTGTAGTTCTCATAATCCCCATGTGTCATGGGAGGGACATCGTGGGAAGTAATTGAATCATGGGGACAGCTACCTCCATACTGTTCTTGTGATAGTGAGTGAGTTCTCAAGAGAGCTGATAGTTTTATAAAAGGATTTCCCCCGACTTTGCTCTGTACTTCTGTTTGCTGCTGCCATGTGAAGAAGGATGTGTTTGTTTCCCCTTCCACCATGAACGTAAATTTTCTGAGGCCTCTGCAGCCCTGCAGAACTGTGAATCAATTAAAGCTATTTTCTTTATAAATTACCCAGTATCAGGTATGTCTTAATTAGCAGAGAGAGAACAGACTAATCCAGTAAACTGGTATCAGAAGTGGGGTACTGTTGTCAACGTACCTGAAAATGTGGAAATGACTTTGGAACTGAGTAACAGGCAGAGGCTGGGACAGTTTGGAGGGCTCAGAAGGAGACAGGAAAATGTGGGAAAGTAAGGAACTTCCTAGAGACTTGGAGGGCTCAGGAGACAGGAAGATGTGAGAAAGTTTGGAACTTCCTAGAGACTTGTTGAATGGCTTTGAC